ACTGCCCAGAGCAGGTATTTTCTAAATTTTGTTTTAAATACTAATCTAGTTTCGTAGAAGTAATTTCTTCTCTTATTTTTTAATGCTAAATGAGAGTAGTCACCAAATAATATATTATTGCCTGCAAATAAAAAACAAGATTATTTACAACTTTTTTAATTCCCCACCACAAACTTAGTCTAGTCAGATTAAACGATTCAGTATAAAGTGGCCAGAAATATGCATAATCTATAAAATTGTGCAAAAGTTTTGGTATTAGAATGTACTGCCACTCAACTACATTCTAAAATACTTAAACTAGGCAGTATTTTTAATTATTGGAGATTTTAATATTGCTTGTGCTTGATTTTTATTATTACCGGCAAAATTTTGGCATTAATCAGTAGCTTGTAATTGGAATAATTTAAATTAGTTTTCTAATTTAAATACCCACCAGTGGGTAATGTAATATTAATCTATACCCTAAATCATCTTTCTGTGATTATTAAAAAAATTCAAAAAAGCAATGTAACCTTCACTGTACACAGCCATTTAAGTAAATACACTAAGTACCACTTATGCAATATTTGCAAAGTCTAGGAAAATTCTAAAAAAAGAATTTACAATTGAAGTTTTTCAGATATTACAAGTTATTCAAAAGAAGTTTAAAAAGATGAAATACATGAAGGCAATTTATGCATAGAACATTAAATTTTACATATGGTTAATTTTGTATAACTTCTTGTTTAAAAGAAGAGGATCCTGCAGAAATGAATTTTTTTTACACTTATTTTTAATGCTTATGAAATTCATTTAGCATTTTAACCCTTTCATGGGCCATTTATTTCTCTTTTGAATTTCTCCCCCTTTTTTATGTTTTATTATCAATTAAACAATAGCATTTAAGGAAATATATTTTATTTTGCCAAATTTTTTGTTTATATTTAAATTCTAGGGGTGGGAAGTATACTTCCCACGGGACCTTTTATGGTCATAGAGAAAATTGAATTTAAAGGCGATTATTTGCCGTGAAAAGATGAGAAACATGTTGCAATGCACAAGGGTACTTCAGATACTGCACACATATAGCGGGTCCTCTTTTCTTGGGCCTTTGTGCTACATTTCTTACATCGTCTATAGTTGGAAACCATCTTTGGCATATGATTTCCCACACTGACTAAGCGTACATCATCCGGAACTGCACACCTTTTTGCTTGGAAGCTAGCAGGACGGCCTTTCTTTTTTCAAGGAATATCCGTCTATTAGTTGACGAGCTAATGCTATATGGAATGTTAGCTGGTCTAAACTTCTGTTTCTCTTGTTTCCTTGCCACAGTATAAAACTATTTACGATGCCAAGATCAGTAAGAAAATAAAAAATACGATGCCACCATTCTACAGATCTTCTCCCTATTTGGTACCTTTCTTTTCTTTGATCGAAGCAATCAACCCCTCCCATGATATCGTTATATACGGCAACAGCTTTAGGTCAAGGTATTTCTGTTTTAGTACCATCCTTTTTTGTATGATTTACAGATGTAATAATCGCTGATTTATGTGCAGTAGTCAACAATGTAGCAACCTTTTTGTTCATCCACTTTATTGCAGCACCTTCCTTAGTTAGGAACTCTTTGTAGTTTGTTATTAGCCTTCAATATTGGTGGAAGATCCTTCCTTTGCAGCCTCACAATCCCCACAGAAAACAGACCACTTATAAGTAGACTTTTTGCAAGCCTAAAAGATGTCAAATAGTTATCATAGGCTATAAGATGACCGGTCTGTTTCACATCTTCCGTTAGTTTAGTTATTACTGTTTCCCCTAAGCTAAATATTTTATCCTTATTATCAGAAGTTTCTTTTCCACAATAAATTTCAAATTTTTGAATATATCCAGTCTTAGAGTCTGCTAAACACCACACCTTGTAACCTCTTTTTATAGGCTTCATTGGCATATACTGCTTCAATGAAGTTCTCCCTTTGAAAGCTATCATACATTCATCTATTCATAATGTTGACGACTTTAGGTATGGAATCATTGAGCTGTGAGAGGATTGGCCTGACTTTATGAAGTTTATCATGCCCAAATTGCACACATGGATTTGTGCTGTTATCGTTTACCTGTAAAGTCTCAGTTTTTTTTTTTTTTTTTTTTTGAACCTCTTTGCGATTATTATTCTTGCTACTGTTTGAACATTGAGAATAGAGTCTGTGCTCCAGTAGTTTTTCAGTTCAGGCAATTGATGTATACCCATGAGTATATGCATACCTTTCAATTCTTCTGATGTGATTTCTTTCCAGTTCAGGATAATGTCTTTTGTGGTATGACCCAATCTCTTCCTTTCTTAGGCTGCTTTGCATATGAGTTTATTTCTTCAACAATATTCTGTAAAATTTCCTCGGTAAAAATCATGCCAAAATAATCCTTTTCTTTCTCGGTAGAATTGAATGATATTTTCAAATGTATTTTCAAAAATATTCTAATTTTTCCAACATACCTATTGCACGTGGCTTTTATACATGATGCAACAGCATTTTCACTTTTCACCCATTATTTATATTCAATATTAGATAGTTACTGCAGAAATATACAAAATAAGGAAACGTTATTATAATAAAAACAGTGTTTTACTTACATTTGTCGCAGAACCGTATAGCAATGCAAATGTCAAATCAAAACAGGTGTCTCAGTGGAACAGATCTCACACAACGCGTTCAAACTTTCAATACAAATGTGGTAATTCTGTTTTCAATCGATTGAACACAGATGGCAGCACAATACTGAAGTGGGAATTAAGAGTTCCCAACGTTATAATAGCAAAGCCAATATATTATAGTGGGTTTTGCACTTCCCACAGGTGTATTTCCCAGGAACATATAGGTGGGAAGTAATCTTCCCACGGCCCATGAAAGGGTTAAGTGTAATTTTAATGTTGTTAACCCAAATTGGACTCTAAAAGTCCCAAGGCAGTATCAAAGTGACAAACTCCGAATGGCACTGTCTGTAGGTATATGAGCTTGTGCATGCGAACAACAAAGCATGATGGCATTTTATATGGTCCTGGCATTGTAGATCCAAGATTATATAGTGGGTATATCTACTTAATCATTACTATTTTCTATTAAAAACTTAATCATGTTTCTTTTAAGACATATTTTTTGTGATTGGTGAATTTTTGTGAGTGCTGAGATAAATTTTTTTGTGCGTAGCAGGAAAGTTGACTTCAAATTTCATTCAATTTCCTTTAACTTACTGATTGTATCTTGGAATTCAAAATACCATCATTTTATAACCATACCATTTTATAAAAATGTTATAAAAATGTTTCAAATCATTTATGTCAAATTTAGTACATGCATTTCATTTTCTTTAATTAAAAAACAATCAAATTATATGTTATTCAACTTCCTTTGATTACTTTTAATATAAATTTAGAAACACTAGTTTTTATACATGGCCAATGACACCTAATAAAATACAATTCAAAATTTTAGATTACATATCTTTCTATTAATTGGAAGAACAAATTAGATTTGGTTTTCAAATGATAAATTGATACTGATACTTCACTTAAATGGTCATTGCTGTTTAAAATGTGGAATTGGCAGGAGATTGTGCTGACCACGTAAGATTTTTTTAACATGCAGACGGGTGCAGTGTGCCATTCATTAAAGTAAACATGTGATTTGAAAGTTAATTAACCCTCACTGTCATGCAGTTAACTGCCTGTATATCATTAATGACATGTATTTTAAATTATTGCATACTTTCTTAACTGTATTTTTTTATGCAATTAATGTGGGATACTGATTTAGAACTGAAAACAGAAGTTAATACAAACATGCATTATGGAATTTATCTGTAAACATAAATTTTTGAATTTTGCACTTCATTATTTAAAAAAAATTTCATGCTAGTGACATTTTAAGATAGAAGGCATTTAAAGCACTTTTGACAAGTTAAAATAAATTCTGTATAAATACATTACAGTCAAATCCCAAGATTTTGCTTATACTGCACATTAAATATTAGTTTTTTAATAAAATATCTCAAGACTAGCACTGGGTAAATAGCTTAAAATATTTACAGAAAGTACAACACTCTCTCATTAGAGGTTGGTACTCACCATAATTTAACTGCAATTAACTATGACAGATGAGCTCGAGTATTGCTGCTGCAGCTCATATTTCTATACACTGATCTGTATATGATCTACTCAATTTTCTCATTATGTTGATATATATGTGTATACACACAGATGTGGAAAAAAACTCAAGTAGCAATACGTGAAAAGTTTTGTTTCAAACTTGAGAAAATGCCGCCTGAGACTTTTGATCAGAGTTTAAAAAAGAGATTTGATTGTCGAAGATTAAAAAATTCTTCAAAGGACAGTATTTGGAGACCCTGCAGAACATCAAGGCAGCTATGATGAGGTTATTAAAGGACATCCCTGTGATGGACTTCCAGGACGCATATAAAGCATGGAAATCACATTGGAACAAATGTTAAAGCAGGAGGGATGTATTTCAAAGAATATTGAGTAATTGTAACAATCAGTTCAATAGATTTCTTAAAAAAAAAAAAAAAAAAAAAAGAGGATGCATTATTTTTGGGACACAAACCTTGTACATTACATTCAATTTAGTAGCAATGAAAAAAGAAACAATGCAAATTATTGCAATAACCACTGTGTAAAATAACAGCAAGAAAATCAAATATAAAAAATAGTAAAGGATTTATATATTTCCTGGCATCATAAGTTCTTCACTGAGTTGGTACACAAAGAAATGCAAAAACATAATCCTATTTCTGAGCTAACAGGTGCACAGCAAAACTTAATAAATAAATAGAATCAAAAGCAAACAGTGCTATCACCAGCTTTTTATATTCTAGATTAATAACTTATTTTCATTAACTCTCTTTCATAATTTTTATTTATTAAAATAATTTCAAATGGCAAATTTTAAAACTTTGTTAAATAGATGTCTTAGAAGTCACATTTTGCTATTGTGAATTACTATTACCTTTTCTTTAGGCTTATAATCTCTACTTGAATTCCTTGGCAAAGGTACATACCCAGTTGCTTTGGTTGGGCAAAAGAAATCAATGACACAAACAACAATCTGTTGAAGAAATTTAATAGCAATTATTAATGATTATAACCAAGTTCATATTTTAGGAAATAATTCAAAGTTACAAGAAAATTATGCACTGTGATTTAGGACTTAGGTAAGCACTTAAAAAAATCTAAGAATAAAATATAACAATACTTAACAATAGGATACATATATAATGATTTAAATATGACAGTGGCATGATTAGACATCCATTCTTTCATAAGAAAGAGATGCCAACAACACATCTTTGATTACAGTAGCAAGAACCTTTCAAAATATAATAAGTGCTATTGTGTCACTAGAACTGCACTATATATTATTGTTCACAATGAAGAAAATGCCCTCCCCATTATTTTTATGGCTTAACATCCATCTGAAGGCTTTCAGATTTTACATTATGTCCAAAGGGGTGTTTTTTAATATTTTGTGTTTTACCTTCACTTACGAAATATCATGTTCTTCACACTTATAACCATAAAATTAAATTCCACAAAATAATTTTAAAATGGGCATATCTTTAGAATTTCCGATGCGCAGTATCGCTAATTGGAGATAATTTTTTTTTCATACAGTGTTGCCATTGCTTGCTTTGAAATTGTTGAGTTTATTAATTAAAAATTCATTAAATGTTACAAAATATGAAATCGATAATAAAACAAATTCCAAATTTGGGCTTCCAGATGACCATATTCGGGCGGAGGATTACGTTATTCAAAATTTGATGGCTGTAGGTACCATTGTTTTATCACAATGAGAGAAGCATGCATATATTTATGCAGATTCTTCATTATTTAATTTCTTCAACTATAACACAAGGCGATAATAAATATATGCATATATTTATATACTTTTGGTGCGGCCGATTGCAACCAAAATACGAGGTGCACATATACATGTCATAGCAGTCCTATATACAAAATTTCAATGTTTCTACGCTGTAAGGTGAAACCTGCGCCAGAGAGTCGATATGGAAAATAAATGTATTGAAAATTAGAGCGTGTTATTTCTGTGTAATGTGTGTGGTGTTATTTTATTATGATATATAGCTATCGCCTGGAAACAGGAATAAGTTCAATTCAAGTTTTTTTGGCCGATCAGAGCCGGAACCGCTAATGAAGTTTATGAGACTGTGATACTTACTTTCGGTTTTGTGAAAACGAAGAATTACATAGGATACTTCCAGATTGAAAGTTCTGTAGAAACAAAAGGGTAAGTACCCTCCCCCTTTTGGAAGCTTATTGTACCTTTTTGAAGCTCTTTATTTGTTTATTGACTTTTGATAAGCTTAAAATGTCACTAAAAGAGATATTAGCGAAAAAACAGTACATTGAAAACACAGTTAACAAAGTTAAGGTAACAATGTAGCGAAGGTTGCGGACGAAAATGTCCAAAGGAAGTGATTTGGAAGTACTGAAGAATAAATTTAGAGTGCTTGAGACAGAGATAAATTCAATAATTTCCAATTTCCAAGAACAATTCTTTGTTCGGGGTTATGTACTGAAGAAAGTATTGATGCTTATGTAAAAGAGAAAGAAGAGATTGACGATATTCTCTTAGATATAGCAAGTCGAATTAAATCGTAAATTAGCTTAAACTTTTCCAAAGAAATTAAATCGGAGCCTTCGGTTTGCACGAATATTGAGAACAATGTTAAATTACCCAAAATTACTTTGCCAACATTTTCAGGGTAACTTACATGAGTGGCTTTCATTTAAAGATATCTTTTTTATCCACTGTTGATTCAAATCCTAATTTCAACAGATGCACAGTCTAAAATTAGAGTACTTAAAATCTGCGCTAAGAGGAGATGCTTATCGTATTGTGGCAGTCCAATATCCATAGTTGACTCTAATTATAAATTAGCCTTTTCATTTACTAGAAGAAAGGTTCTCTAATCACCGCGAACAAGTGTATGCCTCATCTGAGAACGATTTATGAATATGCATCCTATACAAAGTGAGTCTGCGTCAGCCATATTAAATTTAATTGACATTAGAAATGAATGCGTGAGATCATTAGAAGTTTTAAATCAGAGTGTTAAAGGTTTTTCTTCCAATGTATTTGCATACATTTTAGGGCAAAAATTAGATCCTAACACCAAAATATGGTGAGAAAGAAAATTAGAGAAAGAGAATTTGTCTAATTCAACAGATCTTACAGAATTTCTTAAAGATCACGCAAGAACTCTCAACGCTTCAAATAGTGTGACAAAAAAAAAAAAAAAAAAGCTACACATAGAGTTACCGCTGTCATTTCTAATGAAAATGAAAAACATATGCAGAATTCGTGTAGGTTATATAATTTGAGCAATGACAAGCTTTTTAATTGTCCTAAATTTCAGAAATTAAGTGTAAAAGAAAGGGTAAAATTCGTGAAAAAACAGAATTTATGTTTTTGTTGTTTTAATTTGCACAGTGTGAGAAATTGCCGTTCTAATTACTTGTGCAAGAAGTGTAAGAAAAAACATAGCTTTCTCTTGTGTTATCAAAATGAAAATAATTCCGTTGGCACCACAGTAGAAAGAGCATACACTTCAGATCAGGAGTTGGGTGATCAAAACAGCAATACGTTAAATGTATATACACCTGCATTTCAAGCTAAAACTCAAAACGAAACCTTTACAGCCGCTATGGGTACTAAAAATGGGAAAAACGTGATTTTATCTACTGCCTTTGTATTCATTGAGACTAATGATGGAACTTTAATTAAGGTGAAAGCGTTATGTGATAGTGGAAGTGTTTCTTGTTTTTGTGCCACTAAATTAGCGGATATACTTAATTTAAAAAGGGAAAAGACAAATATTTCGGTTTACAGTATATCAGGTATTTCAACTACGATAAAAAGAAAAACAGTTGCCCTTATCTGTAATCAGGAACAAATGTATAAAAGAAAACTAGAGGTTTTGGTAATTCCAAAAACAGCAGGTTTAACTCCCACAAAGTTTATTGATGTTAGTAACCTTGTGATTCTTGAGAAGGTGAATTTAGCGGATCCGGAATTTTATATACCAGAGAAAGTAAACCTGTTGCTCGGCGCAGAAGTTTTTTATGATATGTTACGAGCTGGTAAAATCTATGTTTTTGATTAAAACAAACACCAGTTTGATATTACAAAATAGTGCGTTTGGATATACAGTTAGTGGAAATATAAATGATTCACGGAGAAATAATTTATTGTATTGTGGGTTAATAAATAATAATTCAGAGTGAACTTGAAAATGTTTTTTGAACTAGAATCATTAGAAATTAAAGATGATCCTTATTGTCATGAGGAAGAGAAAGCATTGGAAATATTTAATAAGTTTGTTTTAAAGCTGGTCGCTACGAGGTTACTTTACCTTGGAAAAGAGACTGGAATGAATTAGCTGATAATTACCAAGTAGCGGAAAATAGATTAAAAACTCTTGCAAAGTGAATGAATTATGACAAAACACTGTTTTCTACATATAGTGAAATATTAAATGATTATCTCAAGCAAGGTATTGAGAGAGTGTCAGATGGAAATATACTTATTGGCAAACCAGTATTTTACCTACCACACCAACTGGTATTTAGAGAAACCAGTGCTTCAATGAAGACTAGAATAGTGTTTGATGGCAGCTCACATGAGTTCGGGCAGCTATCACTGAACGATTGTCTATGGACAGGGACAAATTTAAATCCTAATATGTTCCATCTGCTAATTAATAATTAAATAAAACCGATTAAATAAATTTTACCGATTAAATAAAGTTGCAATTTCAGCGGATGTAGAAAAAGCACTTTTGCAGATCGCTTTGGCAGAAAAGGAACAAGACACAGTGCGATTCCTGTTTGTGGAAAACACACAATTAAATGATCTAAAACTAGCGACATATAGATTCAAGCGTGTAAATTTTGGGATTAAGTCAAGTCAGTTTTTGTTGGCTGCAACAATTAAAGAACACATTAGAAAATTGAGATGATCAGCCAGATGTATTTGAAATATTGAATTCTTGTGTTTATGCTTGATGAATTTTATTACTGGACACGACAGTGTATAGATGAGGCTCTAAGCTTATTGCGTAAAGTTAAACAAATTATGAGTGGAACAAATATGAACTTGCGTTAAATGGGTATCCAATGATCCTGAGCTGACGAGAAAATGGGAAAAAAAGAGTTCGAGATCCACCCACATAACAATCAATGACTCAAACGAGACACTTAAAGATCTCAGGAATATCTTTGGGATACTATGAAGATAGTCTGAGTATAGACACAGACAGCTTTGATGGAATTTCCTTAAGAATAAGGCGTGAATATGAAACGAAATGGTTCATCTTGAAAACTGCGGGGAAGATATTTGATCCCTTTGGGTTAATAACTCCATTTACTGTTAGACTTAAATTCTTGCTACAAGAACTTTGGGTTCGAAAATGGCATGGAATGATGAACTACCTACAGATATCTGTCAAGAGTGGGCAAAGTGGTGCTGTGAGTGTTTTCATCTACTTAAAATTGCAGTTCCAAGATTCATTTTGAAACCCAAAGCCGATTCCATAGAGATCCATTGCTTTTCAGATGCCAGTCAGAGGCCGTATGGTACTGTTGTCTACGTAAAACTGTAAACAAGCAAGAAGAAATTTCTGCGAGTTTTGTCGCATCAAAATGTCATGTTGCACCTGTGAAAAGAACTAGGTTACCTCATCTTGAATTACTTGGTGCATTACTAGCAGCGCGTTTAGGTTCTGGAGTGAAAAAATTGCTCGATCAAAAGAAAACCTCGAGAATATTTTATTGGACTGATGCCAAAATAGTGCTATGCTGGATTAAAGGTACCAGTACCAAATGGAAATCTTTCATCACCAACAGAGTTAACGAGATTAGGAAGTTAACACAGCCGACAAAATGGGGACTATTGTTCAACAAAAGAGAACCCAGCAGATGTTATGACGCGTGGTGTTCAAATTGACTTTCTTGTGAACTGTTCCAAATGGTGGTCATGCTGTGACTTTCTAATATGCTCAGAGATTCCTCATCAGGACTTATCAATTGAGGTAATTGAAGAAGTGTGTTCAAATGAACTTAAAAAGGACAATGAACTGCATAACGATTCTAACTTTGTTTTAATTGCATATAATGAACCAAACCTCTTTAATGATATTTTTAATTTGTCTTCTAATTATACTAAAATTATTCGTATTTTAAGTTTCATTTTCAGGTTTATCCATAATCTTAAGAACCCTCAGGTAAGGAGGTACGGAATACTTACTTTAGAAGAGATAAAGGATCCTGAGGTGTATATTTTATTAGAGGCCCAAAAAAGTGAGTTTAGAGAAGAAATAAATCAATTAAAAAGAGGTAAGTGTGTAAACCTCAAAAGTAAATTAGCATCACTGAATGTGTTTTTTTGATAACATGGGGCTAATTAGAGTGGGCGGACGATTGTCCTCTTCGGACCTACCCGCTAATAGTAAACACCCTATAGTTTTGCCTAGTAAACATCGTTTAACTACTATTATTTTAGAGCATTTTCATTTGAAGTACTTTCATTTAGGATCACAATCACTGTTACATCAGGTAAGGCAAAGGTTCTGGCCACTCAATAGCAGAAATAATTCCAGAAAGATCATCTACAGATGTGTGACATGTTTTAAGAACAAACCCATCACAGTTCAAAAAATAATGGCCGAGTTGCCCAAAGAGTGTGTCACACCATCATACACATTTAACATAACTGGTGTTGATTTTTGCTGCCCATTTGTAATAAAGTTTAAGAATCAACGTAAGGGAGTTTTTAACAAAATCTATGTTGTAATATATGTACGTATGAGTACAAAAGCCATACACTTAGACTTTGTGACAGACCAAACTAGCCAATCTTTTATTTCGAGCTTAAAACATTTTTTCTCTAGAAGGGGAAAATGTATTGGAATAATGAGTGATAATTCTAAAACTTTTATTGGTACTAGTGTAGAACTAAAAAAATTGCAAAAATTGGTCGAGTGTCCAGATGAGAATTTAGCAAGTTTTTATACCACTGAAGGTATAGAGTGGAAATTTATTCCTCCAAAGTCGCCAAATTTCGGTGGAATTTGGGAGGCCGGGGTTAAACCATTTAAGAGTCATTTGAAGAGAGTCATTGGTAATCAGTGTTTAACTTTAGAAAAATTTTAACTGTTTTAACTGAAATTGAAGGAGTATTGAACTCAAGACCTCTTACTCCAATTTCAGCTGATCACAATAATTTTGAAACTTTGACCCCCAGGTCACTTTTTGGTTGGTAGACCTATCACAACTTTAGCTGAGCCAGATTTATCCAACATAAATGAAAACAGACTTTCTAAATGGCAAAGAATCACTAAGTATACACAAAAAATTTGGAAATTATGGAAACGTGATTATCTTAATAATTTACAAGATCACAAGTGGAAATTTTTAAAGGATGAGGCTCAGTTGAGAACTCTTGTATTAATAAAAGATGAAAATTTGCCTTCAACCAAATGGTTAGTGGGGAGAATAGCTGAGGTTTTTCATGGTAGGGATAACAAAATAAGAGTAGTAACTGTAAGATTGCCTAATCAGCATTTGCTGAAACGAAATGTTTCGAGATATGTATACTTCCTGTAGAATGATGGTTTATTTCTATTATAAACTGGTATTTGTTGTAATAATTTGAATGTATATTTTTCAATATTGTGATTTGTTATTGTGAAGTAATTTATTGTAGTGCCTTTATATTTACATTTATTGAAATAATAGTTTTGAAATTGTTAATTTCAACGCCGGGAGTGTTTTGTATTAGCTGAGATATACTTGGCGTCAGAGCGGAATCTGGGCTAATATCGCATGCGCCACCAGAATTGATGCTGAAATATATTCTGTGAGAAACTTGGTTTTGTGACATGTCAAAGTTGCGATTCATATGTTACGCTGTAAGGTGAAACCCAGCGCCAGAGAGTCGCTGTGGAAAATAAATGTATTGAAAATTAGAGCATTATTTCCGTGTAATGTGTGTGGTGTTATTTATTATGATATATAGCTATCGACGGTAGGATAATTTAAGTTTAGGTTTTAGGTGTTTTAATTTGATTTACATTGACTAAATATAAATATGTTGTCAAATGGCAACTACATGCATTTAAGGGTTCAATTTAGAGAAAACCATTCTTTAGATTCAAAACAGAATTTTAAAAACTTCCCATCATTGCTTAATAAATATACAGTTACTAGGATTTCCATAACATATAATAAGTTGATAAACGAATTTTAATATTTTAAAATGAAACATGAATTAAACATCAAATATAATTTTTCTTAAAGAATGCTCATTCACACACAATTTAAATAAAATAACATACCAATCCCAGAAGTGCTCCTACCAAAATGGTTACCAAACCAAATATAATATAGGAACCCCAATATGGTATTCCATAATCCTCAACAATTGTGTTATGGATGCTTCGCAATAGCATCGAGAGCTTGAAAAAATATGCTACTGTTGACATCTGAAAAGACTGAGGAGATTTCCAACTGGACACTGGCTCAATTTTAGTCCATTTTTTATCTTCAATGAAACTAATGAAAGAGTCTCTATCACGAGATCCTCTGTACTGTCTAAAGACACCATCTTTCACACTAAAATTATAGAACAAAAGAATTTTAGTCTGGATCTACAACATTATACAGTGGTTAAAAATAGAAATATAAATTATTTAATCAACCAGATGCTTATGTTAGCAACCTAAAATAGCTATCAAAAAAAAAAAAAAAAAAAAAAAAAAAAAAAAAAAACATTTTCATGAATCCAGCTAGTATAATTTTATAGTTTAAATCAGTTAATTAATTGACAACAAAATAAATTTGAAAAGAAAATTAAATATCTTACATTTTTCTGAATGTTAACATACTGCCATGTAAAAAGCAAAAATATTTTATTTTGAGCAGTGGCAATACATTTCTTTCAAATGCTGAATTTGATGATTAAATTTGAAATACAAATAGTTCTGGCCAATACACTTCTTTTAAATCATTGAGTGTTTAATCAAAAGTTCAATAAATTCACAAAAAATATGAAATAAAATAAAATAATAATAATAAAAAACCCCTAAAAATTTGGCCTTCAAGGTGCACATGTTTGAGTAGGAGACTGTGCGTTCAAGATAACAGTGGCTCTATATGCTGCCATTTTATCCACAATGTAATTCAATTTGAAAGAGAAATATACTGTGCTTTGCGGAGTGCGAACAGACTTCTTTTATACTGCAGAATTTTCTAATTAAATTTTAAACATACATACTTATGATTTGCACACTCAGAACACAAAGCTTTTAAATTGCTGATTTTTTTTAATGAAGAGTTCACTAAATTTGCACAAAATACATTTAAAAAAAAAAAAATCAGAATTCTGGCTTGGTTCAGAGTGCATGTTTTCAAAATTTAGTACCCCGAGGTGCGCTGTTTTACCACAGTGCTAAGAACATACAAACACACATATTTTTCATATTTAACAGTAGAATCCCTTTGAGGGACGGATTATAAAAATAATTTAAATTGTGGTTAAAATTCTGTATGAATTGTAATTTTATGGACCCTTAGGACACATAATTGTAACTTAAAAAAAAAATCTAGAGTGAAATCCTGAATTTTGAGAGCCAGTATATATTTTATACCAGTGCCCCCCCATGACATTTTTTTCCCCAGGTAGCTAGCTGCCAACTGTTAATTTTTGTTTTTCATCATTTTTGAACACTTTTGATGTGTATCTATAGAGATGTGTGATTGAATAGTTATGTAAGTCTAAAGTCAAAAACTTTTAAAATTTCGATAGAAATAAAAAATTTGCAAAATAAAAAAAAAAAAAAAAAATTCACTTCGATAATACCACCCAGCTGAATATACTTACGTAAAATATGGGTAAAAGCTAAGCTTTAAAAGTAATTTAAATTCAATATTATTATTTTATGAAAAATTTAGCAAATATAACACTGCATGTATAAACCACATCTTGCTGTAATATAACTAGTATAATGTTACAAGGAGATGTTACTCAGGTGAAAAATTATGTTGCATTTTTAAAGTTATATATTTTATGCTTTAGATAATATATAAAAACAGCATGCCTTATGCTATGATAGCAAGAATCGCCTGCCATACACTTTTGATAATCAGGCCCCGTAGAGGCCCCTTTTCAATTTTTTGTAAATACAGGTTGTAATATATCATTTTGTTCAGGAAGAAAAGCTGTTAAAATGATTTTATTATTTAATACACCTCAAAGCCCTTATTTCTATCCCCCCCAAAACACCCTTAAATATTTCCCCCCTTTTTTTTTCCTTCCAAAGATAAATGTTTTGCAACTATAACTGTCCTTAGAAATATTTTCCATCTTTTCATCAGCTGTGAAGACTAAGTCACGTACTTGTATCCTAACCCAGGGGAAAAATTTCTCTTGTGTTCTCTAGTTTCTCCTCTGAAATTAACAAAGACGATACCCTAAGGCATAAAAGCATGCTTTCAAATCAGCAGTTTTTCCATTCCACTAAGAGATGAACCTAAAGTGAATTTTTGTTTCTGGTATTTGTAAGTGAGCTTTCCTTTCGTGTGATCTTATCACAGCATCTTTGTGGAGATCCTGTGGGCCTCACATGACAAATTAACTGTCAATCACCCCTTATCATTTTCGCGGCAATCTAGGATTTTGGAAAACACAAAGCAACGGGTATCTTTTGGGGCTAACATGGCAACATTTTAACCCCTACAATTCCGTACAATTTCGATGCTCGACAACGATTTTGAAATCGACGAGTCTTTATCCGGGGAAAGAATGAAATGGTGATATTTAATTTCAGCTAAACAGAGATGAATGAGAAACTCAACTGGGGTAAGCAAAGAATAAAAAGAAACTAAAATACCTTTATTCATTCTTAGCACAGGGTCAGTAAACTCTTCACCCCTCATGAACATAACACTGAACCCTAAACAACTTGTAAATTAATCATAAACAAATTATTACATCATAATATAAAGAAATTCTGTCATCTCACACAGTAGAGAAGGCAAAACTGGTGCTACGATCTATTGGTGCTGTACCCTCAGTATGAGCACCAGTATATTTTATATACTGATCTTAAAATCCTATAAATAATCTTTTAATTATCAGTTCTGACTGAAATGCAGTAAATATGTAAGATGCAGCATGTGTACCTCATATATTTGCAGATTTTGAATTTTTTCTTCCCTTCCAATACAATTTATGAATCTTCAAATATGATACTTTGGAATGAGGTATATTAATATTATAACTGAAAAATATTGACGATTCATAGGGTAGTGCTGCCATTTAGAATCAAAATAAAAGACTATAAATTTATGATTACAGCTTTTGGTGTAGAAGAATTAGCATTTTTAGGAGATTAAAAAATTGTCAAACATCCTGCATATTTTACATACTGGTGTCCTTTAAAGGGTTATATATTGACAACTTACACTGTTTAATAGAAAATAATAATAGCTAGTCTCCTGCAAAACTTTGAGCGGGTAGAATATTTATTGAGTAAAAACAAGCATGTTCAAATATCTCTTCTATGATTCTAGCTATTATATCTGAATCATCATAATCATAACCTAGAATTTTTTTTGGGGGAAGGGGTGAGATACAAACTATTATAATAACAAAGATAAGTATTCTAAATAAAGACAGTGTTAATGGTTTGCAGATCAAATTCTAAAACACTTTAAAATTAAAGAGATTATAAAAATTTCAATACTTAAAAAACTTTATAAATTACTATGATTCTGTATCTATGCCTTATAAATTGCTTAATAAAACACACGTCACACTCAGATTATCTAATTTACAGGTCTCAGATATTCCAGGTTACAGAAACTGTCATTTACTTGCTATAGCCTGATAAAATTAAGCTTCTATTTAATATAGTTACACAGCATTATTATTATTATTTTTTTGGTTAATATGACCCTCATTACCAAGCTCAGCTCACATTCCATTTACCTACTGCAGGTGCAAATGAACATAGCTTGCATTACAAATTTATGACTGACAGATATGTGTATTCGGGACAAAAGAACTGTTCAATCTTGCAACAGCCGAAGGGTTACATAATATAAATGACATCAGAGTATTTATTTTTATGACATTTAGTACCATGACATTAATTTTACTATTTTATTACAAAAAACTCAAGTTCTAATTTTAAGTGAACAGAAGTAAGCTATTTGTGTTAAGGGGAATTTTATCTTTATTATATAAGAGAACAATCACAATTCTTGAGTTATGTTGGTTTCCTTTCAAAGTAGTAAATTGATAAATTATGCATTAAAAGAAATTAACACCATTTAGTTCAGCATGCTGTACTCATAAGATATTACTAACAATATTACTAGCACACTATATTCTACTATTAAAAAAAAACTATATTCTACTTATTTTATGCATTGCATTTAAAAATAACGTGGGTACTTTCTTCTTATATGCATCCTCAATGAAAAGTCATGGAAAGTTACTCGTAAAACAGAGCAGTAGTAGATTGCCAACATAGTTATGTGGCAACCCACCATGTCACCAAAGAGTATTTATAGGGCAGTCCAGGTAAGAACAATAACACATGCTTGTTTCGGCCAGTGTGCAAGGCTGAGTTTACAGATGCAGAATTAGTGCAATTTCTGATTTTTTTAAAGTAAAAATAAGACTGCTGCATACACGGAAAGAACAATGACACAAGAAGAAGGATTTCTAACAAAAAAGTGTTTTATTATCAATATTTCTTACACTTTAAATTTTAATGATTGATCCTCTTGTATTTTCAAAATGGTTACTGTCTTTCATGCATCACCTTAATTAGTTGCCAATGTGTTCACTAATGCTCTCCAAAGTCACTGACAAGATCAAGATTTTTCGGTGGAGGTGTAGTTGATCAGACATTACCAAATAAAGAAATGAAAAATATTCTTTCTCTCTTTCTTATGTATAAAGTAAAAGATTAAGGAAATGTACTGTACTGTACAGCGCAATACAATACAGAAATTTACTACTGCTAGGTAATAAAAATTAACATTAAGTTTTTAGCACAAGTAGCATACTACTCGCTTCCAAACTGTAGTAGCATCACTACTCTTATGCTTTGGGGCCAGCAAATAATAGTGATGGATATAAGAATTTTTTAGCATAAAACTTGATATAAGAATATAGATTATAAACTTGATATAAGATATAAGAATTTTTTAGCATAAAACACAGCATTGATGAAAATAGGAAGAATGCTACAAGCAGAGTGGAACTTATTTTTAAGAATTTAATATTACTTGTTTAATCAATTAAAGCAAAGAGCTATTTTACTATGGCATACTTGCCAACCTACGACACTAAAAAATCAGGAGATTTTTCACAATGTTTAAAAAACTTTTTAAATGATAAAAATATAGTTTTTAATAATGAATTAACTTTAAATAACTGCTAATTCTCAAATGCAAGCAACAACAACAACAAAAAAAAAAAAAAAAAAAAAAAAAAAAAAAAAAAAACCGTAAACATAAAAAACATTTTTATTACTTGCAAAAAAAAAAAAAAAAAAAGACACTTTAATCAGTTTTTGTACAAATGTTATGAACAGTGGCAG